GATGTATTAAAACATTTTCATTTCTCAAGGAAAATAGTACATCTAATTGAAGCTAGTATGAAAAACACAAAAGTCAAAGTCAAAGTAGGAAGCACAACATCAAGGATGGCTGAAATAGGAACCTGACTTAGGCAGGGTGATGCCCTATCACTAATTCTTTCCAATTTAATTTTAGAGAAAGTGATCCGGGAAATGAAGATTGGAAGAGATGAAGGAATGATAATGGATAGAACTTGTTTCAGTTTGCTCGCCGATGCGGACGATATAGTCCGCATAGGGGAAGAGGAACAAAAAATGGTAGACCGTGGCAGATTAATAGAAGATATTTTGTAGCTATCTCCTGAAGCTAACTGTTAACTAAGATACCTGTTAACTACAGGAAAAGAATTTTTTTAACAAAATATGTTTTGCATTTTGCAACAAATCAGCTCCGCATCGAAGCTTAAGCATTTGTGCCCAAAACTTCCCCCGTTGTTTTGCATATTAAAACAAACATATCCACGAATCATGGATATGTCATTGGGCTGGGTGTTAATAATGTTACAGCATGATAAAGGTCGTCGACCGTCGGTAGTCATGATAGTCGGTTTCCCTCCTTTCCGTGCTCACAACTCTGCGTTTATCGTATTCCGTTAGTATGGGGCATAACCTATTTACTGTTGTTGTTGCTGTAAAATATTATTGCATACCATGTGCTGTGCTACACACACTTTTTCGTCTTTCGTTTCAAAACCGTATAATTAAAAATTGTATTTTTCTTTTCGCTGTTCGTCCGTTGCCTTTTGTGTGCTGCCATTACGGCAATGATACTTAATAATTAATAAAAAGTTTTTCAGCCGAGTCTGCAACCACGAAAGAGCATTTTCATGTCTCGTTGAAGTACCGAATACATTAGTCCAAGGAGATTAAAAAATGTTGTACAATCAAGTTTCTGGCTAAAATTGTAGTGTTTATTATCTGGCCAAAAATAACTTAACATAGAGAATTAAACTATTTTGAATTTATCATTTAGTTCTAATTTGAACGTTGAACGTACGACATATCTCTTATCTCATATCAGATAACAGCGTAACAGATTAACATTCGAAATGGATCCCTTTGGTACCTTTGGGCACGTAACAGCGTAACGCTTTTTTTCGGTTATTTACCGGCTAAATCTCACCCTTATCTCCTACCCCCTATTCCACTCCCGTCCCCAACCCTTTCGCTTTTTTCGTTACGCTCTTTTGGTAACGCTTTTTTCGGATATTTGCCAGGGTTATGTGCCAGAGCTAAGACATGAAAATGTCAAATTATGTACAATCATGTTTCTGGCTAAAATTGTAGTGTTTATTATCTGGCCAAAAGTAACTTAACATAGTTTAATATATAGAGAATTGAACTGTTTTGAATTTATTATTTAGTTCTAATTTGAACGTTGATTGTACATCATATCTCTTATCTCCTATATCTTACCCCTATCCCCTACCCCTATCACTCACCCGCCCCTTATCTCCTACCCTTATTTCCACCCCACCCCTTATCTCCTACCCCTATTTCCACCTCCAACCTATCTTCGTGTGGTAACGCTCTTTTGGTAAAGCTTTTTTTCGGTTATTTGCCATAGCTAATTCCACCCCTTTCCCATACCCACCTCATCTTCTACCCTTTCGCTTTTTTCGTTACGCCTTTTTGGTAACGCTTTTTTCGGTTATGTGCCAGAGCTAAGACATGAAAATGTCAAATATACAGTTTATATAAACCGCCGACGAGTTGTTGTTATTGGTTCCTCCGTGACATAGCGTCCCACTCATTCAACGTGCTGGTCGTCCAGAATTTCAGCTGTTGTCCACCAACTACCTGGCCAGCGGTTCACCGTCTTTAGATTTAAGTTAAGATTAAGTTGCCTTATTTGCATAATTAGCACCTTGTGGCCATTGCACCACACCGATCCGGTCACAAGGACACCCTGGCCACATAACTAAACTGTACTATCATCTTTTCTATTGTATAATCTGATTCCCATTTCTGCTGTCTCGAGTTTTCTTTCCACGCCGCTATCGTTGTCGCGCTGCGTGTCTGGTCACGGGCCCGGCCCACTTATTCCGGCTCAACACACGGCGTACGCGTGAGAGCGTCAGTGTGGTTGCCTAATCACACAGAAATACGGCGCCACTGTGGTAGTGCACATTCGGTTGCCTACTCTGCGCCCCTCCGGACCCTTCTTAAATTTTTGTTTTACTGATTCGATCTTGAATGGGTTTCGGCTCGATTGAGTTTCTCTTACACTGGGGGTCAATCGGAAAATCTGTGCGAACGCTGAACTTTACAGAGTATATATATATAATTTAGCGAATATATCGCGTTTTCAATTGTAACTTTGTGTTAATTAAATAAATGACTAACGAAATTTTAATCATTGCAGATGGAACTACCGGGAAATTTAACCGATCCGGTATACTGATTCAATCTGCGGAGCTCCGACTACCGACCGGGCAGAGCGACATTGGCGGACATTGTGGAGGACAAGCTAAAGCGGGCTGAAGACAACCTCTGAAATGCGCGCTGCTTGGGAGGTCGTGTGTTGTGAACAGCTGATGAGTTTGTGGAATCGTTATGGTGCCTCCCTAGTGGCCGAGTACAACCGGGATGCAGCAAATCGGTACCCAAACCGAGGTGGTAAACGGTTTGGACGTCCCCACCCGCCAACGCGACGAGGCAGCATAGGCCAGAAAGGCAACGACGGGAGAACTTCTAGTACACCCCGCGGTCCAGGGGCTACAAACAACGGGCAGCTACCAACGTTGCCACCCGGAGGCCCGGTATGCCCCGTGGGACAAAAGTGGGACACTGGGCAAATCCCAAAACTCAACACGCGAGGAGTTCAGGAGTGGGGTCACGTGCGGAGTTGTTCCCCACTCGGCCAGCCAGGGTGCCAACCTTCCTTAGATGCAGGGTCCCAACGACCGCCATGGGAAATTACCGCCTGGAACCACGGGTGGTACTTACGCCGCTACGACCATCCTTGCTGCAGCTGGCGACCAGATCGACCACCTCACCCTGTCATAGACCTAACTCAAAATGAAGACCCGCAGACCAGACCGGACCCGCTTGTGGGCAATTTTATCGAGTTAAATGACGGAGAAGACGAAGAAGAACTAGATGGTGTTGACACGGCCCGCAAGTGCAGTGCATGTTTCCGTTATTAGCGAGGCGGGGTGCTACAGAAGCACCCCGCCTTGTGGGCGGCCTTCACCCGTGGGTGGCAAGCCTGCATGACGAGCGTCCCGGCACCACCTCCACTGGTCAATCAGCCGCCAACGCGACCTACCGTACGTCAACCCACGCCCTACGCTGGCAGGTCCCCGTGACAACAAACCGCGCCACGCTACAAGACGCCTAAGAACTCCTCCACCTTTCCGGTAACGTCATCCTACTCCGCCGTCCAGAACACTGGAGCGGTGTCCACGGCGAACCAGTCTGCCGGAACGTCGGTCACGGTCAGCACCGAACTGGACACCAATACGGTATCGGCGAGAAGGAAGAGGATGATCCGTCTCAACGAATACCGAAAGGCGATGAGGAAGGTGAAGCGGGAAGAACTGAGTAAAGTTTCTCAGCAACACCGGTTGGAGAAATCGACGCTACCGACCGACCCAGGGACGACTCCTTTTCTTTCCCTGTCCCCTCCTTCTCAGTCCTACTACGTCCGCCCTTGACCACCAGGTCACCGGGGCGATGCGAGTGTTCTGATGGCCCGCTTGCCTGAAAAGGTTTTAGCGATGTCACTAGAGGAGATGTAAAAGACAGGGAGGAACAGACACCGATTGAGTTCACCGGTTGGACCGTTTAGCGGGGGAGGGTTGACACGGCCCGCAAGTGCATGTTTCCGTTATTAGCGATTTAATGTGCGCCCGGTCGTGTTATCAACTGTCCACCGTCTCACTGCAGGTGGGAACGATAAACTACTATATCGGCCCGAGCCGGCCGTCGGTGTATGAAGAGGTCCGGAGGGTGTCATTTACAGCGAAACACGGCGGCGCGGCGATGACCACTGTAGGTAATCCGATAATCAGTTATTTAAATTAACACTGATCCGGATCGCTATCCGGCGCCGTTCCGCGCATTCATTTTTGTTATTTTCACATTGTTTCCAAGTTTAATAAAAAACTTTCTTAACTTTTGATTCGGTCTTTATATTTTCTTCAAAACCCCCTTTACTACCGTGTCAACGTGATACGCCTATATACATAGTTAAAACAATGTTAGCTATTTAAATAAATTATAAAATACTAAAATAAAGGAAATCATATTGACCCCGTCGATAACACTCATATTCACTGTGCTCTATCAACTTTTGAACTAAAAACCAAACTGGTTTACTGGTAGTTCAGGCGACACAATTTTACCATAAAGATTTGATAAATTTGTTTGGTACTATATTAGGCAACAACATAATGGTAATAATATAAACCCAACACTAATCCAATTTGTTTGGTCGTTTAAAAATATTGTTTGCCTGAACTATTTCAATTATTCTGAAAATGCAAATTGTATACATGACTTAGATGCTATTCTAAGCAAAATGAACGAAAACCCAATTGACGAGGATACTTTAAAGTATTGTTTCCCGATAAAATGCCGTTTAATTTAAAAATCCGCTTCAAATAGATTCAACTGAATATAGAATTGTATCGCTCCCGGAACAAAACACACGTTTACATAATATGTATGTGGATTTTTAATGAAAAAAATGTATAGAAAAACATAGTTGTGATATCTTGCATTTATTACGCTAAAACCAGGAAATAAATCGATACCTCGTTATTACTTTGTTATTTAAAAGCATATGAAGACAAAGATAATTCTGCCATTGGAAATTTAATAATGCCACACCACGAGCTCTGTGATTTTATTCACCAGCTTGATAATATATTTATAAGTCGATTTTCCTTAATTTCCATAGAAAAAGAAGTAGGAAATAAATTAAAGTTAGCTATAATATATATTAAATTTAATCATCATTGTCCCTATTTTAATAAATATTATTTAGTAAATTATTTTATTGATTTTTCTATAAGAAATCATTGCCTCTCACTTTAACATAGTGGCAAAACCTACAGAGCTTGAAACAATCCTCCCTCCAAATAAACATCATTTTTATGATAGCTTACAACATTCTTGTTGGACAAAGTTATGATGGGGCTAGCAATATGAGAGACGAATATTAACGGTTACAAGTATTCATAAAACGAGAAAATCCTTCAGCGGTTTACATTTGATGTTATACACATCGTCTGAATCTTGTTGTAGTTCAAGTTTCTAGTAGTTCCAAAGACGCAGTTGATATGTTTGGTAATTTGGAAGTATTGAATTGTTTTGTGTCGGGTAGTAAAAACCAGTCACGTATTATGAAAATCATCAAAAAAGCAAAAAAATCCTCAGAAAAGAGTCACCCAAATCTATGTAATTTAAAACAGTTTGTCGACATTGGATGATGTTATTGACACTTTATAAAATATCAAGAATACAGAAGTTTCTGATTACAAAGCGCGTAGCAAAGCAAATAGTCGCATAGGCTTTTGTTAAGTAAAATATTAATATTAACAACTCTGGTTTTTACAAAATTATTTGAAATGTTGTCCCCGATTACAAAAATATTTCAATGTCCTGACATTGACTTATTGGGTGCAATAACTAGCTTGGAGGTGGTAGTAAAAGATTTACAAAAACTACAGTGTGATGAAGAGTTTAACAAATTATGTGAAGAATCCACTTCGTCAATGAACAATAGCTGTTATGAATTTATAGTGTTACCACAGAAGCGAAACAGAAAAAAGAAAAAATGCCTGGAGAAACAGCTTCGGATAATACAATTAATGACCCCCAAAAAAAGATCAAAATCCAAACGTACTTATGCACAATAGATGCAGCTTTAACAGCAATAAATAACCGTTTTAATTCTTCATCATAAAGTTTATTAAAAGACATTTAATTTTTTTCAGTATATCTTCTACAAAAAACTAATTATAATCCTTCATCCCTACCAAAAGATGTATTTAAGGTCTTTCAGATATTTATGATAAAAGTATTAAATGTGAAAAATTAAGACATGAATACATCCAATTTTTGAGATTATATTTTAATTTGAAGACGCAATAAGTGCAAATATTAAATGTGTACATAAAATGCATGTTGGGGTTGACAAAATCGATAACGCTCAAGAAACTGAGATGAGTGATAAAGGAGAAAAAAACCTGGATATGGAAAATGAGAAATTAACAAATTTAAATAGCTTACTAAAAATATTTTAAGTTTGTCATACGTCTGGATTTGGAACCGTATTTTCTACTCTAAATTTAGTGTTGAAAATAGCTTGTACATTGTCTGTATCTAGTACAACGCCAGAAATAGCAATTTTTAAATTGAAAATTATCAAAAACCGGTTACGTACAACAATTTCACAAGACAGCTTGGAAAATTTAAAGCTAATGACAAGCGAGTCAGACGTTCTTATAAATAATGAAGAAGTTACTGATATATTTTAAGTTTAACCTTGGCTAAACGTTTAGTTTAAGTTGACGCTTAATATAATATGTCTATTATAATATATTGACAGTATTGATATTTTTATTATTATAGAAACTTATACATGTTTTACCCACTTTTAGTGACATTATAAATTAATATCATATAAACATACTGTAATAACTATAAACTATTTATCTAATACTGTTCGGAGTTGTAATTTGGCTACACTGTATTTAGTAACGTTTTATGTTTTACCGATATTTCAAATACGTCTAGAATTTACTTTCCGCAATGGAATTTCATAGTTAACTTCCCTGTTTGATCTTTATTGTTAAATCTTAATCAGTCAACTTTCAGTTAATGTTTAATGACGTTTTACTGGTAAGGCTATGAAAAAATGGCGCCACCATATTATGCTGTCGTGTTCCGTCGAAGTAATACAGGTAAATACTTTTTTATATTATTTACTTAGCGATTTTTAGATACCTTCCATTTTTAAACGATGTGAATTTATAAGTAAGGGAGGGGGGGGGGTGTTAGAGATGTAATTTTGTTTGTTAAATCGATTTATGTAATTGTTGATCTGTAATGATAATGTTTTTAAAAATATTGATAATGATTGTAAGCAAAAAAACATTTTCATAAATTCTAATAGTACACGAGCCAATAAAGCGGTTCCGTCAAAACAATTTACGGCAGTATTGAAACGAAGATAACGAATTACTTCGAATTATGAATGATTCTGGTAAAAATTCCCTCGACTTCTTATACATTTTACTTGTGTAAAAAAAAAAAGGTGAATTTTTATTAATATGAATCGAAATTGGATAAGTCTATATCGACTATTAATAAAATACTGATACTATAGTACAATAATGTAATATGAATAAGAAGGAATTATTTACCTTTGCCTCATCATTTTTAGAAATTCCCTCTGAAATACATCGAAAATCAGAGTATTTTAATTCGCGTGGTCAAAATGACCGATGCCACCGCTGACGTATATCTTTTACTAGCGACACTGATGTCGGTGTAAGGGTTGAATTTTTGAAAATACTTTCTCGGTAGATCTCTTCATCATAAAACGACACTACAGGGCAAATTCTATACTCATATTTTATATTAAGTCAGGATAAGTAATTTTATATGTATACATATTTATTTTTATTCACTTACATATTTTATATGTATCATAACAGACTATTTTTTAATTTAACAAATTATTTATACTGTAGATTTCATTTTTTCATAGTTTTTTAAAGAACCTCGACAGTTGGACCCCTAAAGGCTCAGAGTCGAGTAACAAATTAAAACTCATGTGCAACAGATAATAATATTATGTCAATGGTCTTTATTGAACATATTTACTATGATTACTTTTAAAATTTGCATAGAATGGGCAATTGTCGTCCGCAATAAATGCTTTGGAATACTTACTTTTTTTATCGTCTGGACACTATTTTCTTTATTTGGTTTAAATTGTTGGTATTTTTTTAGGTATTGATCGTTGATGATTGGATTCAGTGTTGCATATGTATGCATACCTCTAGATCCCGGCGGGTTCTTAGGATTCTTAGGATTATTTTTGTTGTCATGGATCACGTATAACCGAATTTTTATCTCATCGGTTGGATTTGTTTTTAATATTCTCTCAACTAGATCGTTTTTTCGTTTTAACTCAAATACCCATTCTTTTAACGAATGGTCTTCGCTAGTATTAGAATTCGTTGCGTCTTCGAGAATATATCTGGAAAACGCGTTTCCGTGGTTGGTTTCAATTTTTTTTTCGGGATTTTTAGTATAAATGTTTTTAGTTTGAAATGTCTTCTTGGGTGGCTCAGGGGACGACGGTGTTGTTGCCGGTGGTTTTGGATTTTGTGTATCCGTTGACTGAGGACGCTTTGAAGTTTCGTCATTTGGATTACGTGAAATAAAGTCGATATTTTTTTTATTAGATTCTTCAGCGGACAATTTTCTTTTTTCAACATCAATTTTCTTTCCAGTATCGGTTTTCTTGATAATATCGACTTTTAAATCAGATTCTTCCTTTTTGTTAATATCGGTTTTCGAGATATCTGATTTTTTGTCAGCGTAAGAGTGTTGCTTCCCGGGAATAGTATCTTTAGCTTTCTTATTAGTTTTTAATAGCCTCTCAAATATGTCGTTTTTTCGTTTTAGCTCAAATTCCAGTCGTTGTAGCGATTCTTTTAACATAAGGTCTTCGCTAGTATTTGTATTCGTTTGCTAAATAATACAAAAGACATAGTATTAGTTATATTGATTTCAATGCTTTATATTGGGTGTAAATAAACATAAACTTTAAAGTCCATTATATTTTTGGATAAAAAGATAACACTGTACAACAATTAACCTTTTTTTGGGCCATGAACCAAAAAAAATCTAACCAGACTCAGAATATGAACTCTAGCCCAGAATCTGAACCCATTCGTATAAAAAATTTGCTTAAAAAAAGGTATTATTAAAGTTGAAATTATTTACTTATAGGCTATTAAATAGTTAAAGTACCTTATTTTTCATTGCTTCTTCAACAAACCGATTCGGTGATATTGGGTGCTTCCAAGAGAAATTCGTATTTTCTGGGCTCTGTGACCTAGAAATAGTATCTTTAGATTTCTTCTTCAATCCTTGGCGTATCAAGGATTCAGATGTCTCTTTGGTAACTGCTTTGGACGGTCGAGGTAGCTGGAAGGCATTGGATGAAATCGGTTTGGAATCGTTACCTGTAGCGTGTACCTTAGATTCATCTTTCGTTGATTTGGGTAAATTCTTGCTAGTTGAAGTGATAATCCTTGAAAATTGTTGGTCTTTTGGTAGTGGAGATTTTTTCGGAATTTCTACGAAACCTCTTTCAATTGGAGGATCTTTTTTAAAATTGTAAATTATATTGATCGAAGAATTTTTTTCATTAGGTGTTTCTAGTTTCTTCGACAGTTGCGGTTTTTCAGGTTTTGTGCTGGCGGGTGTAGTTACAGAAGATTTTTTTCGCTCAAACCTCGGTAGCTGGTTTAAAGATGGTGGCGTCATGATTGAACTTGTTTTTGAAACGGTAGAAGTTGTAATTTCATGTTTGGTTTTTGGCTCGCTAAAAACCGTCGTTTTGGATTGTATAGTTGACTCTAAAGGCGTGGTTTTCTTAGATATTTTGAATTCAGAAGTTTTAGTTTTTTTCCTAGGTGTGTTGATAATCTTGATTGTTGAGTCCGTTTTAGGAATTTCAGAAAAACCTGTTAGGGGTAATGTTTTTGGAGTGGTTATAGCCGTTGTTTGAGGTGCGCTAGATTTAGTGGTACGAGGTAATTTTGCAGGGAAGATGGTACTTTTAATATTGTTTTGTGACACAGCTGCGCTTGAAATGGTAGTTTGTGGTGGCGTCTTAAGCGTCTTGGAAGTATCAATATCGCTGTGCGACTTAAACATACTGGAAATAGTATCCCGTGGTTTAGTCTCCGGTATGGTACTAGTTGTGGTCTGAGATTGTTTTTTCTGGGCGCTAGAAAGCGGAGAAGAAATCTTAGGAGTTGAAGAAGAGGCCGGTGTTTGCTTGGTAGTTGGTGCATATGTTTTTTGAGACAAAACAGGCTCTTTTTTATCACATGATGGTTTCAGGTTTTCTTCAGAACATGGTTTTGCAGGTGAAGGTGGCTTTTTGTTATCGCATGATGATTGAGGTTTTTCTTCTTTAAGAGGTTTTGAAGGCATGGGAGGCTCTTTTTTATCACATGATGGTTTCGGTTTTTCTTCAGAACATGGTTTTGCAGGTGAAGGTGGTGGCTTTTTGTTATCGCATGATGATTGAGATTTTTCTTCCTTAGGAGGTTCTTTTTTATCACATGATGGTTCCGGTTTTTTTTCAACACATGATTTTGCAGATGAAGGTGGTGGCTTTTTGTTATCGCATGATGATTGAGATTTTTCTTCCTTAGGTTCTTTTTTATTACATGATGGTTTCGGTTTTACTTCAACACATGATTTTGCAGGTGAAGGTGGTGGCTTTTTGTTATCGCATGATGATTGAGATTTTTCTTCCTTAAGAGGTTCTTTTTTATTACATGATGGTTTCGGTTTTTCTTCAGCACAGGTTTTTTTAGGCGGAGGAGGCTCCTTCTTTTCGCATGACGATTCAACTTTATTTTTAGCACATGCAGTGCTCTCGGCTGTACTTTTACAACTTATCTGGACCGCACTGACTTCGTTGCCGAACTTTGGCAATGCCCTTCTCTTAAAAGGAGAATTTGATGCTGTTTTCAGTTTGAGGTTAATCAGACTGGCCTTCCGCGGTTTAAACAAGGCAAAAGTTGGTGGTTTTTTCGATGAGCTGTAACATTTCTGGATATTTTGAGTAAACGGTTGACTTCGATTAAAAATTATTTTGAGTATTTCCTTGTTTGCACTGAAAGAACCCACCATTTCAATTTAAAAAAACAACACTATAAGTATTACATGCTACTTACCTCTGGTGAATTATGTACATCTCGCTGACTCGGTATATTTATTTTTTTGAGTACCTATTTATGTTCGCGAGACTTGTATTGCTTTCGTATTTAAATTTTGTTGCGTAAAAATATCATTCGTTTGGTAGTAACGAAGATTTATGTTTCAGCCAGAGAATTTTTAAAATAAATAACTAGTGGACATAAAAATCTAAAAATTACCGTTTTCGTCAAAACGGGAATTTTTACTTACTGTATCTTAGGTTTGATGTTGTAAAATGTAAAAAATATTTGTTTAATCGGTTGTTTATGTTTTGTTTAACAAACTTACAGGATAGGTTACAATAATTTACAATGACATTCTTTCTTATATTCCTTATTTTTAATGTTTGTATATATTGTAAATAAATTAATACTTATACGATACAGGGGAAAACAGGAAATGAAGGAATTATTTACCCTTGCCAAGATTGACAATATTTGTACTGTCGAGGTTGATAAATATAAAAGTTTTTCAGCCGAGTCTGCAACCACGAAAGAGCATTTTCATGCCTCGTTGAAGTACCGAATAAATTTAGAGTAGTGGTGGAATTATAGATAATGATATAGTATATTAACGAGCGGTAACAAGCTAGTATAATAAATTGTCAAATTTCTGGCTAAAATTGTAGTGTTTATTATCTGGCTTAAAACAATTCATAGAGAAATTGGGCCCTTAAACTGTTTTGAATGTATTATTTAGTTCTAATTTGAACGTTGAGCATACAGCATATCTCTTATCTCCTATATCTTACCCCTATCACTAACCCCCTATCCCCTACCCCATATCTCATATCAGATAACAGCGTAACACTTTTTACGTTATTTTCGTTATGCTTTTGACATTTTCATGTCTTAGCTCTGGCACATAACCGAAAAGAGCGTAGCGAAAAAAGAGATCAAAAAAGCGTTCGTTACAAAACCGTTACAGGGGTAGGAGATAGGGGGTGGGAGATAAGGGGGGGAAATAAGAAATATGTTGTACGTTCAACGTTTAAATTAGAACTAAATAATAAATTCAAAATAGTTTAATTCTCTATGTTAAGTTACTTTTGGCCAGATAATAAACACTACAATTTTAGCAAGAAACTTGATTGTACATAATTTTTTTATCTCCTTGGCCTTATGCTGTAACTGGAAGCTCCATATAATTTTTTTTTTTAAATTATAATTCCACACCTAATCTAAATTTATTCGGTACTTCAACGAGACATGAAAATGCTCGTTCGTGGTTGCAGACTCGGCTGAAAAACTTTTTTCGGTTATTTTCCACAGCCAATTCCCACCCCCACCTCACCTTCATCCCCATTTATTTTTTGGTAGCGCATTTTTCGTTACAATATTGCCGTTACAATATTTTCGGTTATGTGCCAGAGCTAAGACATGAAAATGTCAATTATATAGTCTTAATCTTGCAATATTTAGGTACTAGGTATAATATCA